GCAGTTTTCGTTCGCCATATATAAGTTTGAATTATTCAAGTGTTAAAAATAATAGTTATTAAACTGTTGCTCGAATTAAGAGACTGCTATGTGAACTGGACTCAAAACAATTTGTTTTAGTATATAGTCAATAAAGCTTCCTTGTGAGTACCCTGGATTCCAGGGTACCTTGTGAGGTGCATGTCTAGAAAATAGAAATGGCTTTCATATTAAGGGCGAGGTTAAGGAATGCAGTAATACTAAAAATTGTATTAACATGGAAGTAAACACAGCAATGCTTGTCCGAATTTCGAAGTGAATTTCTGCAAATTATCCGACAAGACCTGCCACGTGTTTGTGTTCGCAAGTCACAAGAAGCCGCCAAGTGTTCCGCCACGCCGGAGCTATTTGAGAACAGCGTAGAAAAGTCACAATAAGCCATCGCTAATTCACTCTACGCTGGAGCGAAATCGTTTGAAAACTTTCATGTCACTTTTGCCGTAACAATTTGAGCACGGTTTCTAAACGGAGCGAGGTGAAAACGGCGGAGCGCTTGATAGCTTCGTGTGAACACAAACGTGTAAACTCGAATGCTTTTCAGTTAATTTTCGTGGGTTTATTTGAAATATTTTGGGTTTACACGAGTGCTAATTCAATTTGTAAACAAACTGTAATGGCGGTAGTATGAACACACATAAATTCTGCCCGCATTAGTTCGCTTGTGCGTCGTGTGAACGTAATCTAATTTTTCGGTGACGTTTTCAAACGGCGAGGTAGCCTTTAGAAAAATTTAGAAATAGTGGATGTCCGAAGGGGAGGGGGGTAATTTTGGGCTTGGATGTCCGGAGAGGGGGGGAGGATGAACCATTCCAAGATGTCCGAAGGGGGGGAGGGGGTTATTTTCGATTTCCTCCGTAGGGGGGTATGGATCTTTTCTGGAATGACCCAATGGGAGTTTTCCGTATTTCGTTTCTTGGTGTGTTGTCGGCAGTCCCTCCTTTCTCCCGAAGGGCCTGCTCGCGGTCTAGTATAATGAGGGAATTTGAATCTTATTGGCATACAAAATTGTGATTCAGAATTTATAATTTCTATACCCGCCATCCAATCTATTGATTAATTAGGGTCTTTTGTAAATATCCACCAATCAGAAGTCTATATTTGTATTTTTATGCTGCAATAGCATTCCAGAGACTAAATTATATTTTATTAATTTAGGGTGTGTTGCCGCTCTATATTTTGCTCGGAGTTCTTGCCTGTTTGTGAAAAGAAGTACTTTAAAGATCAAGATACATGCCTGTAGAAAGTAGGAAGTTATGGAGCGACGCTACCTCCAAGCTCTAAAGGGCTAACTCCAAAAATCATTTGGAGCTAAGTATACAACTGCAACAATAATTTAGGAGCTAGGCATCTAAGCTTGGGGTTACTGGCTAACTCCAATAATCATTTGGAGCTACGTTTAACTCCAAAAATTATGAAAAAACAAGGTATCTAAGCCTTGAGTTACTGCCTAACTCCAAAAAGTATGTGTATAGCGAGGCGAGTCAGCCTATAGCCGCTAGAAACATACATGTAAGGTTGAAGTTACTTGCTGTGTTGCTAACTCCAAAAATCATTTGGAGCTTGTTATCTAAACCAGGAGTTACTGACTAACTG